TGAAATTTAATACATTGAAAAACCTATCCTTGATTCCTCCTGCCTCCCAAAGCTGCACGCTACCCCTTCTCAGTAAATGCCAACTTCCTTACTCGTATAGTTACTCTGACCAAAAACCATGGCTCTGCTTTGTTCTTCTCTTTCTCTAAACCCTATACATGTAGTGTTGACTCTACATTCAAAATATGCCCTCAATCTGATAGCATCAAGCTACCTGCACCACATTCCTCCCTGTCCCCACCATCACCTCAGTGATCCAGGCTACCACCACTCAAGACCCAACGATGGTACATGCTCTGCTCAACAGCCAGAGGGATATCAGAGCAGGCCATGCCTCAGCTCAGATGCTTTACGTGGCCTTCCATGCACTGAGATAACAGCCAAGGTCTTTGTAAGGTTCTAGGTTCTACAAAGCACTGCACAATCACATCCCTTGCTCCCCTCCTGCTCTCATCTCCGGCCACTCTCCATTTTGCTCACTCCTCTCTAGGAATCCACAGCTTCTCGTTGTCCTAAACTGGCCAGTCTGCCTCTACCTCAGGGTTTAGTCATTGCTTTTCCTTCTGCTTTTGTGGTTGCTGTTTCTTCTGACATTGTCTATTCCTCCACTTCTCCTAAAGCAGAGTGTCTTGACCTNCACCGTATTTTGTGATCATATCTCGTATATTAAAATCCTTCAAGAAATAGGAAGAACTAGATGAAAATTTAAGTAGAAGACACATACAGAGTAAACAGAACTCCCAAGATGGAACTGCAACATTTTTTTCAAAATGAGAACAAATCTAACTTCTCAAAGGATATTTTGGAATAAAATGATTCCAAAATTTCTTCGAAAAAATCAATAGGCATGAATAGCAAAAATCACTCACATGAGAACAGAAAGCATATTATAACATAACAGGCATTAAAACTGTGTGATACTGGTATAAAAGTAGAGAAATAGAGAGTACTGGAACAGAGTGGGAAGCAAAGAAGTAGATATATATGCTATATGTGTTTTCATTTTCGGTAAACAAAGTTTCTTCAAAAGGGACATGGGTGTAGGGTGGAGGAAGGTTATAATAAATGGTGTACCAATGTCAGGGAAATTAAATTAGATCTATACAGAGCAGTGAACCTCAGATGTATTAAACAATTAAATATTTCAAAATGAAACCATGAAAAACATAATTAAATCATGGAGAAATAACAGAAAATAGAATGTTTATTAGTTCTGTGGCAGATTTCAAAATTATCAAAGAAGTCACACAGAAAAACGGTAAATTAAAGCAGATGATCCCTTACACCTAGGTATGTTCAATAAAAAGGTTGCTTTTCATGATGTAAAAAAATAATAATAATAAAGCAAGTGAAAAGTAGATTTAAAACATATCAAAGTAATATTTAAATAGAACATTATAATATTAGGAAAATAGCTAAATGAAATATGAGAAAGTGGTTATAAGGTTACATGGAGCACACATTCAAATTAATCAGAGAAAAAATACATTATTTATTTCCCACAATTCTGTCAGCCAATAGTAAAA